AAACCCTTTAATGTACAATTTGAAAATGATTTTATGGAATGGAAAACAGTAAAGGTTGTTTTTTAACTACACCCTCTCTGACCTTATATTCAAATGTATTACTATTATTATTATTTATTGTCCAATGCACTAATTCACTTGCATGCTAGGCCAGATAATGAATTATTTCCTAAACGCCTTACAGACCTTTATGCTTTATGTCCTCTGCACAAGTCCCTGTGACAGCATGGCTGGCCGTCCTTACTTAGGATCTGCTAATGAATCCAATTAGCCACTGGTTCTGTTCTTTTTTCCACCATTGGCACAGAGCGTGTTTGATGGGTCCCCACACTGTTACCACAGATAGAATGATACGTAGGTTCAGTATTATCCACCTATCAATGTTCACGAGCCTTCCAATGCTTGTGCAGTATCCTCTTGGACCATGTTCATTAACCCCTTAAGGACCAAACTTCTGGAATAAAAGGGAATCATGACATGTCACACATGTCATGTGTCCTTAAGAGGTTAAAGGGACACTCCAGGCACCCAGACCACTTCTGCCCATTGGAGTGGTCTTGGTGCCAACTCCCACTACCCTTAACCCTGCAACTGTAATTATTGCAGTTTTCATAAACTGCCATATTTACCTTGCAGGGTTAACGCTTCCTCTAGTGGCTGACTACTAGACAGCCACTAGAGGGCACTTCCGTGTCTCTAGCACTGAAATCCCCATAGGAAAGCATTGAAAGCATTTTCAATGCTTTCCAATGGGGAGGTTTAATGCGCGTGAGCGGCATTACCGCGCATGAGCATTAGGTGTGTCCCTGTCGCCGGCCGCGCATGCGCAATAGGTCTCCCCCACCGGATGACATCGGAGGGGGAGGAGCGTCGGCACTGGATACAGGTAAGTCACTGAAGGGGTTTTAACCCCTTCAGCAACTTGAGATCGGGGATGGAAGCGAGAGGGAACCTTCAGTGCCAGGAAAATGGTTTGTTTTCCTGGCACTGGAGAGTCCCTTTAAGCTTGAGCAGCAAGGAAATCTAATTTATTTTACTAATAAATTGGTGGAGATTATTTTCCTTCTAATGTACTAGATGCCAGCTGATAGTAAAACCTGTCATGGTAGTTTTTCGCTAAGAACATTCACAAAGTATCACAGTTCTCGGCTGTTCGGTTCTCGAGATAGTTTATTTATAAGATAACACAATGAAGTTGTTGAAGAGGTTTAACCCAAGAATTACAATAACATTATAATATAGATAGAATGTCCAACTTCTGTTGGCTGATCAGCAGCACATGGACACTTCCATCTTGACCTACCCTGATAGTGTAACTTCCTGTATGTGTCTCAACGAATATTGTGATGATATTATTAACCAGTACTGCCTGTATTTTACCAGATTCACTTTCACTTTTCTCTTATTTCTTTGAAGACTGTTATTATCACCGAAAGGTGCCTCTGAAAAAAACAAGAAAAAAACCCATCTTTATAACAATTTTAATTGTACTGTCAGTGTAGCCTTGATGAATGTGTAATACAGGCTGTTAGCGAGCATCTTCGATAGCACTGAAATCCTGGTTAATAAAGACCACAAATGAGTAACATGAACAATTATGTCTAATAACAAATAAAGAAAATCTTAGAAAGTGTGGGAAATTAACCCCTCACCCTCTTTTATTTTATTTTTTCCTCTTACCCCCTATTTTTATTTTTCATAATTTAATAGTTTTTATTGTTATATTTATGTTTCATATTGTTATTATTGTGTCTTTCAAAAACTGTTTAATATGAATTATGTGATAAGAAACTGTAGAAGATTAACAAGGGAATTGAAAAATATGAATCAAAATTACCAATCTGTAAAATGTTATTCTCGTTAATGCCTATAATTTGCAGTTTTCTTGTCAATACTACACAATGTATGGTCTAAATTAGAACATCTACAAACTAAAACAATGATGCAAAAAGTCAGGCCACCTCATTATCTGTAAATAGCCGTTTACAGCCTTCTTGCCTTATAACTGAGCATTAAGAATCAGGTTATCTCAATGTGCGAGCTGGGGTGTTCACCAATGGGACAATTCATAAAGGGTGTATTCACTAAACAACTAATTGTAGTGAATTGAATAATTCAACATTTAGGCAAATACAACTGATTTGGAACATGTCTACATATCATCTTTAATCACAGTCATAATTTTAGCTGAAAGTTTGAAATTCAGTTTTTTCTTTCACTACAACAGTTTACTATATAGGCCCGAGGGAAATTGCAAATTTTATGCCAAAATCACCTAAAAAGCAGAAAAATAATTATCTAACTCAGTTTAAATGAATTCTATAGTGTTAGGAACACAAAACTATATTCCTAACATTATAGAACCCTCGGCCCCCTCGCGGCCTGCCTCCGGCCAATAAAGGGTAAAAAAAAATGTATTTGTTAACCTGTGATGTCTCCTTCTTCGCGCATCATCTGACGGGGTGGGGGGTGTTAATGCACAGCTAGTGCTACGAGCACACTAGGCCCTCCCCGTATTAAAGATTTGAATCAATGATTTCCTGTGAGGTACTCATGCAGAGTGTAAGAACATCCAGGGTCAGGGAACCTAAAGTCTGGTAAAATCCCACAAGCGCCTCTATTGGCTCTCTGGTAGACAACCACTATAGTCTGTTTTAGTATTGCAATGTAAACAATGTTTTACATTAGAGAACTAAATGTGACAGGGACACTGCATCCAGACCACTTCAATAAAATTAAGTGGTCTTGGTGCCTATAGTGTCACATTAATCTCCAATCCTGCTATTTTAGCCTTAAATTTGCTGTTCCCTTATCAGTTTTCCAATAATATGGGTGAACAGTTTAATAATCAAATAAACAAATAACATTTAGCAACAACCATTTAATATGCACCAAATTTGCTTTAAAAATGGGGCTTTAAACAAGTTCTTAGTGTGCGTCGTGGGTACAATCCTACTACAGCTATATTATGAATCAACAATGTGTTGGTTTATGTAACAGTGCTGTGAGTTGGACCACATCTGGGTCCCGATTCTGCCTGAAATAAGGCTATATTATTACTTTAAAACTATGAATACAATATTACACACAAAGACTTCCAAAGCACTGGGTTAAACATGAAAATGTTAAATTTATGGAAGAATATATTCCACGGCAAAATAGAAAGATGTGAAAAATGTCCATTCCTATTTTCATCCACTTTGTTAAACCCCAGTAACCCATACTTGGATTGCAGAAACCATGTCCTGTATTAGGTGAAATGGTGGTGTGGACAGCAGGGCTTCCTTCAATAATATTGGTGTAAAGTTGATGCAAGATGTAAATTAGCATGACTACTCACCTAAATTTAGAATATAATACCATTGATTAGGCCGGTGAAAGCTATGAAAGTTAAAAAGAGAGACTCTAAGCACAAAAACACGATATCTAAGTGTAGTGGTTTTGATGCGTAGATTGTGTATCTTTTCTCAAAAATTTAAATTATTCCTAAAAAATGACAATGTTTCCATTGGGCCCCACACCACTCACCTAGCGCCTGAGATACAGACAGCCATTTGAGACACTTCCTCTTTAAGACCTATAATTGTCATAGATCTTCACGTTCCGTGTCATCTTACATAGCATGATGATGTCACCCGTGGCTAACCCTTCTCTCAGAGAAGCACCGGATGCCAAATGTATCTATAAGAAACATTTGATTTGACCAACGATCATCATGCTTGTTAATCTCACCATAGAAGAATCAGAATGCAGTGAGTAGACTGTCCAAGAACTAGACTACAGGTACGTTTTATGGTTTTTTTTATGGAAACACAATGGTCTACACTAAAAATGGAGCACACTAATATTGCAAATAGGTATAACATGTTTAACATGAGAGTGTTTTTTTAATTGTCCCCTAACTTGTGCAAAATAATATTTTTTGGGTAAAATTAAGTAGCTTTATTTAGGATGTTACTCTACCCATGTACCAAAAGGCAAGTTGCAAATACTCACTGGCGAGTGCTGTCAAGTTTAACGCTGTGGCCATCAACATAGTTTGACATCAAGATCGGTGGTGAAAACATTATAGCTAAATAAACTGGTAGCCTTGTCTGTAGCTAACCTCAAAGAGATGCTCCCCCTAGTGTTAATATTGAACATAGCAGGATACCAGTTAGGTAAATATATAATTTATGTACTGTACTGGCAACAATCTACAGTAAATTCATAGATTAGAATATATGCTTGCTTCAAGATTGCTCCCAGAGGTGCTCTGAATTGGTCTGAACCGGACGGAGTCGTTGCCTGCACAGAAATTGAAAATAATTCAAAGTGAATTTCAAATGTTGGGCAAAAAAAACCCTGAAAACTGAATTATTTTGAAATGTACTAATTGATTACTTTATTAAAGGGGAACTGTCCCTTCCCATGATTTTAACACTGCAGTTACATGACCCGGTATTGAAAAATGTATCTGTGAAATGTAAAACTACTAATAATTAAATCTATAAATTTGCACCTCTTTTTCCTGCAACTGGGAGCCTCCATCTTAGCTCCCTGTCAATCATTGTTATAAGCTCCGCCCTTTACACCTGGCAGTCAGTATAGAGAGAGCCACCTCCATCTTAGCTCCCTGTCAGTCATTGTTATAAGCTCCGCCCTTTACACCTGGCAGTCAGTATAGAGAGCCACCTCCATCTTAGCTCCCTGTCAATCATTGTTATAAGCTCCGCCCTTTACACCTGGCAGTCAGTATAGAGAGCCACCTCCATCTTAGCTCCCTGTCAATCATTGTTATAAGCTCCGCCCTTTACACCTGGCAGTCAGTATAGAGAGAGCCACTTCCATCTTAGCTTCCTGTCAATCATTGTTATAAGCTCCGCCCTTTACACCTGGCAGTCAGTATAGAGAGAGCCACCTACATCTTAGCTCCCTGTCAATCATTGTTATAAGCTTCGCCCTTTACACCTGGCAGTCAGTATAGAGAGAGCCACCTCCATCTTAGCTCCCTGTCAATCATTGTTATAAGCTCCGCCCTTTACACCTGGCAGCCGCCTCCATCTTAGCTCCCTGTCAGTCATTGTTATAAGCTCCGCCCTTTACACCTGGCAGTCCACACAGAGAGAGCATACAAGGAAGAGGAGTAGAGTATTTCTTCTCTTCATTTGTAATGTTTACCGTGCCTGGACGGAACTGGATTGTGATGTAATTTGATTTTAATATGAATTGAAAAGAAAATGGAGCAGTCCATGGAAAACAGATGTAACACAAATCACATGTGCTGTTCAATGTTTCCTACAGTGGTGCAATTTCTAAATGACAGTCAGTTCCCCTTTTATAATAGAGTGCTTTTTAAGAAAGCCCAATGCCCCATTCAGGATTTTTCGTGATGGTTTGGAAATATGACGTGTAGTTGCTGAGATTAATGCATATGTAGTAATCCTTGAATCGAAACGTTTTTCATGTTTATGGTCGTTGTCCTAAAATCAGTGACTGCCATACCAGTTATTCCAAATGTTATTAAACTACATTTCCCATGATTCTTAGAGAACCTTCATATTCACACAGTGAACTTTCAGTTGTTAGCGGGAAATACAATAGCTGTGTGCCACAGAGTTATGGGAGTTGCAGTTCAGTAACAGCTGGCATTCCTACATTTAAATATTTCTGGCATGTTTTTGCCATTTTGAGGATCCCCCATTTTTCTGGAAGTGACCGTGCCCACCGTGTAGATCTTTGACCTATGTCCGTTATTCTGTTTTTATTTTATGTCACATCAGTTTGTTTTTGTAAATGTTAACCAAATTTATTGAAATAAATGTTTTTGATATATGTTTTGATATATAGAATATTGTAATAAACAATTGGAAATGTCTCCAAACCCTAGCATCTACCTCTTCCTAGCTTCTTATTTTACCCGACAGTGCAAATCACAAAGAATCTGTCGACCAGTCCTGTGGGTAACCTTAAGGTAGGTATAGATTCAGTCTACACGCTGTGCAAATGTGTTAACATTGTAAAGCACTCCAGAATATGTTGGCGCTATATGAACATTGATAATTATAATAGTTAACTCTTATATTAACCTGAATAAAACATAATCTAAGAATGGAAAGAAGGGGTCACTGCCTGTGTTTGTAGTGTATTCTGCTCTTCAAAGCAGGATTTACCATAAAGTGATCTACACCGGCCCCAGAGGGCCCAGGGGTTAGACAGGAATCCCCGAGCCTTGACAATACTGGCTTTACTCACCGTCATTATATTAATTGTAAATAGTGATGTACCGAACGGTTCGCCGGCGAACGGTTCCCGGCGAACATAGCATGTTCGCGTTCGCCACGGCAGGCGAACATATGCGCGGTTCGACCCGCCCCCTATTCGTCATCATTGAGTAAACTTTGACCCTGTACCCCACAGTCAGCAGACACATTCCAGCCAATTAGCAGCACAGCCTCCCTAGCAGACCCTCCCACCTACTGGACAGCATCCATTTTAGATTCATTCTCAAGCTGCATGCTTAGTAAGAGGAGGGAAAGTGTAGCTGCTGTTCATAAGATAGGGAAAAGCATAGCTAGGTTAGGGATAAGGGTATGCTCTTTTTTGATTATTTTTTTTTCTATGTAATGTAAATGCACTTAGTTGTCTGCCACTGCTGCCAGCTTCTGTGTCAGGCTCACAGTGCCCATTTCCCCAGTCAGTGCCACCAATTACATCTCGTGTCACAATAGCTTGGATTTAAAAACAAAAAACTTTTTTCACTGTTATAGATTGAATAGCAGTCAGTTGTCTGCCACTGCTGCCAGCTTCTGTGTCAGGCTCACAGTGCATACTGTGCCCATTTCCTCAGTCAGTGCCACCAATTACATCTGGTGTCACAATAGCTTGGATTTAAAAACAAAAAACTTTTTTTACTGTTATTTATAAGATTGAATA